TTTTATAAAGGCCATTGGCCTTTATGGCAAGTTGTAAAATAAAAAATGAAAACGCACTATTTAAAATGTTTATTATTACCTATAAGAGTTGTTTTAAATCACAAATATATTTACACTAAATTTTGATATTTTAACATTTTAGCATTTTAAAGTCGATTAGTTGACCAGTCGTGGAGTGAACTTTTGCGAAAGTAAACAACTTGTGTTTCGCGCGCTCATATGACCTTAGCAGTTGCGAGCGCTGTAAAACCCTATACTACTACTCAGATGGTACACGCAAGGGGTTGATGACTGCCTCCATTACGATCAGTCCCGGACTTACGCAGTTGCGAGCGCCGTAAAACTCTAACTAAACTGACTAAACAAGACCCGGACTTGATGTTCAATAGATAACACTTCAGTCCTGGAAAGAACAAACTGGGATCCTGTTTTGGCGGTAGTGAACACTTTTTAAAAACCCTGCTGTAGATCTTCTGTTTTGATATAACACCAATATTCTTTTGCTCTTTTAAAAAAGGTAAATATATATATATGAAGATTCGCAATTTTTTATCCATCAAGGGTAAAGTTCGTTAACACCGGCATAGCATACATTCTTGAATACACAATACTCAGCATTATATAATACACAAAATCGAAACAATGCCTTTAAAATTAACACACTATAGCTCTAAATGTCACAATGTTTTTTTATAAGACGATATCAGTCAGCTGACTCATAAAAGGATTGCACCTGTCGCCTTTTCGAATAACACGGAGAGGGTGGGCTCTGGCGAACTGAACAGGAGAGGGTTATGGGCTTTTTCATGTGTTCGTTTATAAAATGGGAGGAGATAGTGAAACGACATTATTTTGAGGGGTTTCTTTCAAATGTGTTTCAGTCGCGGAATTGTTCGGTTGGCGACACTGAACATCAAAGTTCATCCTTATTTCGATAAGTTGTGACTTCTTCTTGGAGTATTGTGTCGTGGGTTGTACTCGCTGTTTGAAATAAAACTACCACCACCACCACCACTACCACCATTACAACAGCTAGAGCAACAACAACAGCAACGACAACAATAGCAACAACAACAACAACAGCAAACAACAACAACCACAGCAAGAACAACAGTAAGAAATACAGCGACAGCACAACAAAATAGACAATAACAATAACAACAATAATAACAACAACAACAATAACAACAACAACAGCAATAGCAGCAGCTGGAGCAGTAGCAGCAGCAGCAGCAGCATCAACTACAACACAACCACTGTAGTTTCGTTTATAACAGGCTCAGAAAGGGACGTAATTCTCTTCCTTGAACGGCACAGAGAAGTCGAAGTCTTTTATTAACCAGCTAAAATACGTGTATCGAGTGACACCCGTTACACGGAAGTAAAACTTGTCACCGTCTTTGTATTGATTTGGAGATTTTTTTCGCCAAGGAAGTTGTGTTCCACAAATAGTTAAACAAGGATTGATTTCAAGGAAGGATATAATTTCGAAAGGCTATCTGCGGGAGGAATAAAGGAAGAACTTCAGCTGTACTGTTGGCCATGCGTTGCTGGGAAGTGAGGCAGTTGACTTTGTCCCAGACAGCATGACGATCGTGCCCTCCGATCTACAGCATGGGACGCGGGCGGACGTGCGCAGGAGACTACCACATTCCGTTTATGAACAAGGCCAGAGTTGGTAAGCTATGAAGTGATGTAATGCTCGACACTTGTTGTGTTCTTTTTGGCCGGGGGGGGGGGGGGGGGGGGGGGGGGGGGGGGGCTTATTGTTATGTGTCTAGGTTTGTTCCATGTACGCGGGCAAAGAGTGTGCTAGAGTTAACGAGGACTTGCTGGCCTCGTGTCTTGCAATAATGCATTGTGTCTGTCTCTCAGAATCTTCTTGTAGAAATTATATTGGCTTGACAAAGAAATATTATCTTGTTTGTTTTGTTCTTTCTTTTTTTTAAAATCGTTCCTTAGTGTATGTTACAAATATTTTTCTCTCCTTCAAGTCTCTTTACCTTTATGAAAAATATTGTATTTTGTTAAAGAACATGGTAATACTACTTGCGTGTTTACGTTTTTATCTTGTCTGTCTGACTTTCTGCCTACTTGCTTGTCTGTCTGTCCTCGTGTCTGGCTGTATGCTTGTCTGTCTGCATTCTCCCCCCCCCCACCCCCACCCACACATATACGTACCGCATGCCCCAGAATCAAAGACATTTTAATATTAATATAGACGTTTGTTAATTTTGAAAATTAAGGTGGACACAATGTCCTGACAATATGTTTTTTCACACAATGTAAGGCAATTGCGTGATTCATGGAACATCCCCTCCCCCTTTCCCCCGTACACTACCACTGCACTGTCGACAGCAAATCGATGCGACTTTCAGATCACGAGGTGGGTTTCACAGCACGTCTGGCATCCCGTCAAGTACATGTTCATTTTCCCTTTTATTCTTGTTTGCCACCCGCTCGCCGCTCAGTCATAGCCAGTCCACACTGCAGTTTAAGTGTCATCGAATCTCAATTTGATGCATTGGAAGACGACTAGGTTTTCTCCATGGAGGGTCAAAAGGCTACCATTTTGGTACAACTTAATTACATTTTCCTAAATCAAACATCTTTGATTTCTTTAATACCAATTGATTAGATATTTGATTCATTTGAGAAAAGCAACCAATCAGAATGCCGAATCTTTTGTTCACGCACAGATTGCAATGGGCCCTAATGAACTTCCGGGTCAAATTTGATCAACCAAAGTAGATGTCATTTAATACATTATGCACTGGTGCCACCTAAATAGTCGACCAAACCCGACCTGATGTTTGAACCTGCACATTGGGTTAATCTGACCGATTTGCATCCGTTCTTATAGGACGCATCTTGTGCTGGTATTGCATTGCCAGTGACGTGTATTTCTTGTTTTTGTAAATATTGCTCATTAATAGTCATCGTTTCGTTCGTATCTAGTCCGATTGAAATCTCATTCGTATTCAAAATGACGCTGTTGTCAAGTCAATTAAATCAAACTAACAGCCTTACCCTACCCAAGAGTGAGACTGCAGCGGTGAGATCCGCTTTCCACCGACCAATTTTTGACCACTGAGATTCCCGGATTTGTTCCTGCTCTACAATTTTGGTTAGACGAAACCTCTTCGTACAGATCGAAGTTGTCTTAAAAAACAAACAAATAACCATTAAGCTTTTTAATGTCCTGTTTACTCTATTCACTACGAGATGTAATCTGGACTTTAATGGAAAAATAGAAACTTAAAGTGGCAAAGATAGACAACGGAAAGCATGATCTGGTGGATGGCGAGAAAAGACCAGGGCAGAGAAAGGAAGGACACTCCATTGTGGGCAGTGTCTGTTGTAGAACTGGCACTGAAAACAAAAACGAAGATTTAGAATGTCATGTTAGCGTCTTTTTAACATTGTTGACCAGTGTTGTTCAAACTGACGAGACTGGCAGGAAACTGTTAGGTGGCCCCACGTTAGGCTATAATTTAGTGACGTCAAATTGACTTAGATTTCTTCTGTAGTAATGTGATGCAGCAGAAAGAGTTTATGGTGAATGACCTTTTTTTGAATACTGTTTGTCTCAATGTTTCTGATAGCGTAAAGGCAGGTTCTTGCCGGCAGGCATCTAGCCTCAATAGAATAATTTGTACTACTATTTTTTATTAGTCAGGCGGTTACCCCCCCGCCCCGCCCCACCGTTTCTTT